TCACAGTGGACAGATGTATACTTACTATAGATGACTTCAGAGTCAACACATAGTGTGCTTAGTCTCACCACTTAAGAGTTTTGATGTCACCCCTTAATTTGGAGATCTACTTCCCCACCCTATAACAGCACCTTATCTACTGTGTATATTTGCTTCTAGGGTATACACCCATGGAGGTGGTGGTGGAGCTCCGCTGTATGAAAGGACCAAAGGAGCAGAAAGATCGTAGAAATAATCAGAGACAGGGAGTGGTTGAAATTTGTTCACACTTTTATTTCCTCCTTCTGAGCCCATGGTACCACGTTGCATATGAACAATATATAACTGGAGATCCATGTGGGGAAAATGAAGTGAAACATTGCAGCTTTTTATGCAGTATGCCTTCTTAGTAACCTAGTTTAAATCCAGAAAAGCTGGTAGAAGTTATACTGCTTACATAAATTATCACTTAAGTATTATGTCCTCTCCTCATTCTGGAGGTTGAAAGGACATAGTCATGTCAGTAATATCAATGGCTGTTTGGCAAGCCACATTAGTAGGAGAGGGTAAAGAAGTCAGGAAGGAGAGTGGAGTAGATCTCCTGAGATCTTGACCCCAAATACCTTTCTTGCAGGGAATAAGATTTTCAGCACAATTCATGCTTTCTATAGCACAAAGTGTTTGTGCCTTTGGTCTTCTCTTTGCAGTTGCCACCCACTCCAGAAGAGAATATGCAGCAAAATGCAGGGTTAAATCTCATGAGATTAAGGTAGGCCTGCCTCTCCCTGCTGTAAACTTTCCATGAAAACGTATTTAGGCTGATGTATGTAAAATTGGCTGCATTCTAGGCTTGTACTGCAGAATGATTGCCCTTTCAAGTTAAAAGCTGTATGCTTGAGGTCATTATCATACTCTGAAGAAAGATCTTTATTAGCCTAAAGCAGAGCTTTCCAAACTGTGTGCCGTGACACATTAGTGTGTCGGCGGCAGTGTGTAGGTGTGTCGCGTGAAATGCAGAAAATTTTGTGGAAGGGCACCGCGGAGCTCCCTTACTCGCGTCTGCTTCCCTTGGCCCCTCCCCCGGAACTGAATTACTGTGTCGCGAAATGATGCATGTCTAAAAAGTGTGTCACCAACATGAAAAGTTTGGAAAGCTCTGGCCTAAAGGATAGTAGTTTCTCCCATATTCTGAAAACCAGGGTCTGTCTATCATTTTGGCTTTAGTCCCACTCAAGGTCAGCCACTCGGATCTTCCTACTCCAGTTGTTCCAATCAGTGGTATTTTTTATTCTTATGTACAGTTTGTACATGTCTTTCCTGATACATGCTGAGGAATGCCTTAGCATTTTTCACTTCTGACCTGACCTCCTTGTAATTTTGGAGCAGGATTTCATCTGACCCTTCTGATGTAGTTTTTTTTTTTTTTTTCTAACGGTGCTGCATCTTCAGTTGTACACTCTAAATCCAAGTAGTTTTGCTCTTCACTGTTGAGACGATTGTGTGAATGGCCCCTTGCATAGTCAAATGTTTCCAATGGAGCTCTGGAATTAATCTAGAACATCTGAATTTGATAATCTTTTGGGCATGTTGCAAGACACATGCATCTTCTTTACCCCAGTAACAGGAACAAGGGCTGGGGCAGTGCAAAGGCTCCTAGAACTATAAAAATGGCGCTACATTTTTTCAAGATAAGGGTTACTGTCAGTTACTTGCATGAATGATTTTTACAAAATCCTTTGACGTTCATTGTAACAGTTTTATTCTCTGTACATAGCAGTAAGATGAGTTTTATAATTTAATTTTCTGTCAGCTGGCAAGACAGAATGAATGATTTTCTGTTTCTTTAAATCGCTCAAAGTACAGCATAGAAACCAGTCATGAGCTCTGTGAATTAACTGTCATTATAAACTTGTAACATTCTTAAATTTCTGAATGTTAGTGGTAGGTATTTTTTAAATAAAATATTAGCTGGATTTTTATTTTTTTAACTTCTTAAAAATAGAAGACAAAATTAATTTCTTATTTGACCAATGAACTAGAACTGTAGATTGCCCAAGTAACAGATCTGCATATCAGATCTGAGTTTAAGACCAAGGATATGCTGTTTGAATCAGACTGTTATCAGAATGTCACTTCTTTCCTTGTCTTTGTGATAGCTCTAGCTTTTCCAGTATTCTGAAGGAAACAAATATCTGGCTGCTGTTTGGGTAGGAATGAGGTAGAGCCAGTCACCACATTTTGAATAGCTGTTGATATGTGTAGTACTACTTACGATAAGATAAGTAGAGGCATTTTGAAAGGTTTCAGAGAAGCTAAATGAGTGATTATAGCTTGACATTTGCAGGTGATGGTGCACTGGATAATAAAATACTTATGAATGACAAGTGAAAGTTACAGTCTTACTGCAATTCCTGACCTCCTTTGCCCCCTACTCTTTCTTTCCTGCTTTCCTTAACTCTGTGTTCTCATGTAGAAGCTTTCGCTCACAATTCAGAAATGTCCTCTCCATCCAGAACCTTGCATCTTTGATGCTACCTCAAACATTTGCTGGCTCATCTTCCTTTCTTCCTTATGCTTATGAACTCATTAGGCAGTCTGCCCAGTACAGTTCTTCAGCTTTGTCCTTAGTTTTCTCCAGACTAGACTTCCTATTCTCTTGTTGATTAAAACTGCTCTCATTGTGGTTTCCAGGAACTTCTTTATGGCCAAATCCTAGGATCCCTAAATAATTCTCACTTTCCTTACTTCTCATTTTTGTTGACAATTTAGTTCTCACCTTAATTATATTAAATATTTTCCTCCTTGGACATGATTGTTTTCCATGATTTGGAGCTTATGTAGATTCTTTGCTGTCAGCTGTCATTTGCAGTGTGTCAAGAACCCACCGTCTCATCTTCCCTTCCCACTTCTGTCTTTCAGTCGTTGACAGCAGTAAATCTGGGTGGTGCCCTCTTTAATCTGCCCTTATTAGCCCTGTGTAATCATGTTGTATGCAAAACTTGCTAATGCTTTTTCTATAACATTTCTGAGATGTCCCTTTCTTTCAAGAACTCTCACTCATTTTGAGCTTCCTGATATTCATCTCACTAAACTCAGCTTCCCCAGTGATGTAAAGTCATGTGTCTTTCTTCCATATCCCAGTTTAAGGCCCAGTGCTATTATAGCCTGCCAGTTTATACTGGTTAGGCTGGTAGCCAACTGGAACTAGTCGCTATAATGCATCTCTCCTGTTTGTTAGATCTGTGATTTAGGTCTCTGTAATCAAGTGCTTGTATTACTGTATTTACTTGAATCTAGGAGTAGGACCTCCAGTTTTTATTGTTTGTTCCATATACTCTCTCTCATCAGTATATAAACATTTCAGGTATCAAATTGATTGTCTTAACTTCTCCCTGAGAATATTGTTAAGGCTTTTGCTATTGTTTCCCTTTTTTTTTCAATGCAAGTCCCCTGGCTCTTTACTTATATCTTGGCTTTTGTCTCCATCCCCTGGGAAACCTAGTTTAAAGCCCTCTTCACTAGGGTTAACAAGCTTATATGCAAAGACACTCTCCCCTTTGTTGTTTGTCAGCTGGACCCCATTTCTTCTCAGAAGTCCATCTTCCTGGAACAGCACTTCATGGTCAAAGAAGCCAAAGCCCTGCTGGTAGCTGCTCTTATAACTTGTGATTTGCTCTAGGTTGCCTCTGCCATATCATTAGTGCCCACATGATTGAGTAACATAGGATAATAGTCAAAGGGCTGGATGAGTCTGAGTAACCTTCCTGTGATGTCTAAGAAGCAGGCTCCTGGGAGATGGCAGATCTCCTGAATTAACCCATCAGGCTGGAAGATGGGTGCCTCTTTGCCCTGCAGGAGGGAGTGCCTAACCAGCACCATCTGTTGTTTCTTGGCAACAGAGGTCTTGATCCTTTCCCCCTTAAGGGTCTATGACTTGGCCTCTCCTGCCACTGAATGGGCTCCTTCTTGCCGATGCCAGGGCTTCATACCTCTTCTGGTATGCTGTTTCTTGCCATAGGTAGCAAGCAGCCAGCTTTCATCCTCCTGAGTACCTGTGTCTTCTGTATCTTTCAATGCCTTTTCTATCTGTCCCTTTACCATAATGCTGGCAGTATTTTTGTGCTTCTGGGCCAATCTATCTCTTCCTGGACCTCCATTACCTGATTCGTGAGAGAATCCACCAGGAGGTACTTTTCACATTGCAAGTACCCCTTCACCTGGCTGTCATTGGCAGACTCTGTCCACTCCTTACCACCTCCCCCTTGGTATGCTGGCTGTAGTGAATACTATTTTGAGGTGTCAAATTTTCCCCTATTGTATAAAGAACATAGGTGCCTAACTTGGTTGTGAATTACAATAAGTGGCAGAGAGCCTAAGTATTAGGTCTTGCAATGTGCAGCTTAAGTCCTCTCTGAATTTAGCCTATAATCACTCTGCCATTTGAGGCTAAGAGCTAGTGTTACCATATATGTGCCATGTATAGCATCGCTGACGTGAGGTTTGTGCATGTTTTTTAATTAGTTTCAAAAGGAGCATGTTTGTTTTAAAGCATGGTTGAATTATCTTGCTACAGGAATTATTTTTAGCGGCATATATCCTGCTTTACTTTGGACCTGTTGTAGCCATCTTGCTGCCTTAGGCACCTCATCCATTCAAAGAATGTCTGATGAGTTGCAGTACATGCATACTGCCAATATTCCTATGAAGTTGACATTACAGTGTAAATTGCCAAATGTGAAGGAATTCTTCCCCATAGTTGATACTGTGCTTTTAATATTCTTTGATACTTCACGATCACAATGCTGAGTTTCATAGAATTGATGTTCACAGTCACATATCAAAATACTGTAGTGAATATTTAACTAGCCATATGTTGTAATCATTAGAGTTTTTTTCCCTCCAGATAACGTTGTTTTACTTTACTCAGCAGGACTATATAGAAAGTCTCTTCCATGGTAGTAGTAGATGGAAACTATTTTCAGTATATCACTAATCATTTTCAAAATGTTCTTTCTTCACAGGTTGGAGTTCATTTATTTTGTTCCTGGAACAGAAGAGGAGAAAAGGGCATTTCAGGTTTACTTGATAAAGGTAAGACAGCGTCTATCAATGAAGATGATAACATTCATTATTATTCAATTATAGAAAGTTTGTCAATTGAGAGGGTTTTTTTCTCTTTCCTACTTTTGTGCCTTACGGTGAGTTAAATATGTGCTAACATAATGAATGGACTGTGTAGTTTTACCATAGGTATCAGTAAAACCTCAGAAGATAAGAAAGTAGGTGTGGATCAACATGACAACATGACAAAGTAGATATCAATTTGTTATATTAGTAACTTGTGACATTATCTGCCCTCTGCTGAATTAAAAATACTGGCTTGTTCTGCTGTGGATCTTTTCATCCAACATGTACACACCAGTGGTCTTCAACTTCCTCTGTCATGGCACTCCACCTCCACTTTTTTTAATATGGAGGTATCCCTGGCTGAGGACCACTGTTGGTGCTTCCTTAGTTTATCTCAGTGCTTCTCAACTGTCTCCAGATGAAACTGCCCTGTGTACCTGCTTGAATAGCTAGCCTGGAAAGGGCTGTGCCATGTGTGTTGTCTTGGGTGGCTGCACTGAGTTTCTCTATGAAATGTTTCCTCCTGCATTAGAGCTCTAAGCAGCAGCAGCGGCATATTTTTGCCTTTTCCCTCTGTGGCAAATAGGAGACAGAGGGACTGTGCCTCAGAAAAATACATCCAAGAGGCAGTGCCTGCTGGGGCTACTTCTCTGCTAGTGTGGCTTACTCAGGATCCCTTACTGAGAGCTGTGTCATGGGGAAAAAATATAGCCCTAAAATATTACAATTCATCATTTTGCCAACAATGACTAAACTAAACTAACAACATCAGCCTTGGAGGCAAAACTCTTATAACTCCATTGTCTTACCTTTAGTTCCCCTTGGTAACTTCCTAAGAGGGTTTGTAAAACAAAACTGAACATCCCTTTGAGCAGGGGCGGGCAATTATTTCAGGCGGAGGGCTGCTTACTGAATTTTGGCAAGCTGTCGAGGGCTGCATGGGTAGCCCTGCCCCTTGACAGGTGCCCCACCCCCTGGTCGCCATCTTGGGATCATAAGTCCCGCCCCTAACCTCTGACCTTTGCCACAGGAAGTCCCTCCCATTGCCCCTGGAAGTACTTCTTTGGGGAAGAGGTTTTGCCATCTTTGAATGGAAACTCCCCCCGAATTATATACTAAAAATCAAATATCCATATTAATATATTTTAATTAAAAATATATATTTTTCTCCTAATTTGTGTTTGTGCTGTATATGTAAAAGTGATTGCATGATAACTCAAAATGCAGTCTTACTCTTGCATATTGTGTGGGTTGGGCAGGGGTGGGGGGGTTGTGGAGATGTGTGGGTATGGTATTTGTGGGGGGTGTGATTGTGTGGGGGAGCGTGTGGCTGTGGGTTTTGTGGGAAGGGTTTGAGGGTATGCAGGGTGTGCATGGGAGCCTCCTGCATGTACCTCCCTGAGCTGGTCAGCACCTGCCCCCACCCTGCAACAGCGCAGAGCCCAAATGCCCTGCAGCATCTCCCCGCCACCACCAACAGGACACAACCCCAGTGCCTGCTCTGCACTGCCTGGCCATGGCATGCCCTGCCGCCCCAGGGCATGCAGCAGTAGCTGCGGGGACCAGTGTGTGCAGCCACAACCCTGTGTTCCCCGTGCTGGCTCTGGGCTTGCCTGTCAGGGCTGATCAGCAACAGCAGCAGCAGCTGGGCAGAAACTGCTGTTCGGCATGGGGGAAAGCAGCCCGTCCCCCTCACTGCTGCTGGGCAGTTTTTGTTGTGGCTACCCAGAGCCTGTGCTGCACTAGCCTGTGCTGCAGGTCCTACATCAGTGCCTCTGGGCTGCCCAGCACGGCAGAAGTGACAGTGTGGAGCAGCCATGGGGCAGCTCACAGGTGGTGGTGAAGGAGCTGTACCACAGCCCAGTGTGGTGCAGGCTCCGGGTGGCCACAGCAAAAACTGCCCAGTAGCGGCGAGAGGAAAGGGCTGCTTTCCCCCACACTGAGTAGCATTTTCTGCCCAGCTGCTGCTGCTGCCACTGCTCAGCCGTGAAGGGTGAGCCTGGAGCTTGGAGCTGGTGCTGGGGCCCAGGCTGAGCAGTGGTGGTGTGGGACAAACTGGTGCTCAGTGCAGGGGAAAAGAGGCCCCTTTCCCTCCCCCTGCTGGCTTTTCCTGGTGCAGCTGTTTGGAGTCCATGTGGGGCTGCCCTGTGTCTGCTCTGCACTGCCACCGCTGCCCCATGGTGTATCCCAGAGGTGGCGGTGACATGGTGGAGATGCAGGACAGCCCCGCACGTGCTCCGAGTGGCTGTACCAGAAAGTGCCGGCAGCAGGAGGGGGAAGGGCTGCTTTTCCCCAACACTGAGCAGCAGTTTGTCCCGCACCACCACTTCTCAGTTCAGATGGGTGAGCGTGTTGCATGTGGGGTCAGGGCTGCATGAGCTGGTACTGTGGGGCTGTGGCAGGGGGGACTGGGAGCAAGTGTGTTAATGAAGATATTGAAGAAAACCCCCAGGGGCACTCCACTTGATACCGGGATCCCGCCAACTAGACTTTGAGCCATTGACCACTACCTGTTGAACCTGATGATCCAGCCAGATTTTTGTCCACCTTACAGTCTGTTCATCCAACCCATACTTCCTTAACTTGCTTGCAAGAATGCTGTGGGAGACTATTAAAAACCTTGCTAAAACCAAAGTATATACCTTGGTGCACTGCTTTTCCCACATTCACAGAGCCAGTTATCTCATCACAGAAGACAATCAGATTGGTCAGGCGTGACTTGCCCTTGGTGAATCCATGCTGATTGTTCCTGATCACTTTCTTCTCCTTCAAATGTTCAGAAATAGATTCCTTAAGGACCTGCTCCATGATTTTTCTAGGGACTGAGATGAGGCTGACTGATCTGTAGTTCTCTGGATCCTCCTTATTTCCTTTCTTAAAGATGGGCACTATACTTTCCCTTTTCCAGTCATCCAGGACCTCCCAAATTTGCCATGAGTTTTCAAAGATAATGGCCAGCAGCTCTGAAGTCACATCAGCCAACTCCCTCGGCACCCTTGGATGGATTGCATCCAGCCCCATGGAATTGTACATGTCCAGCTTTTCTAAATAGTCTCTAACCTGTTCTTTTGCCACTGTTCGCTGCTCACCTCCTCTCCAATATGTGCTGCCCAGTGCAGTGGTCTGGGAGCTGACCTTGCCTGTGAAGACTGAGGTAAAAAAGATATTGAGTATTTCAGCCTTTTCCTCATCATCTGTCACTAGGTTGCCTCCCCCACTCAGTAAGGGACTCGCACTTTCCCTGATCTTCCTCTGCTGACATACTTGTAGAAACCCTTCTCGTTACCCTTCATGCCTCTTGCTAGCTGCTACTCCAGTTGCACTTTGGCCTTCCTGATTTCATCCCTGTAATCGTAATCTTAAACATTAGTATGTCTTTAAAACATAAAACACAGTATCTCAAAATAGTACAGAACCTGGAAATGGACAAAAAAATTGATTTGTATGCACAGATGACTTTAAAGTCTTAGGTTTGTGTATACCCATTGTACTACTTTAACTATATGTCTGCTCTCAGTATATTTCAAGCAATGTATTCCAAGAGTGTGGATTTATATTGAAGAGTTATATTGCTTTACTGTTAACTTATTCCCATAGGCATAATTAATATATCTGCAGAAGACTGCCTCTCACTCAGCTTTAAGTGCAAGAACAGTAGGAATTTCATCAATTTATGTCGCTTGCTAGAAAAAAATCATACCAGAATAAATCTCGACAAAAATTGTTTGTGGAGAAGGTCTGAGATCTCAAACTGTAGTGAAAAAAAACCGTAGGTTGCTTGGGCACCAAGGGATCCTGTACATGTCGGGAGCCTGCTCCGACATGCTGTAATTACAACGTTGGAGAAGACTCGATTAATTGAGTCTTCTGTAGCGTGCTAATTAGCGTGCTCCAGCCAGCCTCCATGTCTTGTGTATCAGCATCCATGTGCTTCAGAATGGTGGTGTGGGTGCTTTAACTGAAGCTCCTTTGACAAGCTTTAGATAAAGCATCCCTCCCACCATTTTGAAGCATGGGGATGCTGATATACGAGATGCTCCAGGTGCTTTAATTAGAGCGGCTCTGGGAGCACATGTAAAAATGCTCTAAGTCCTTGATTCAGAGTCCACTGAAGTCTTTCAATTGATTTTGAGCTGTGGGCCTTAGTTTTGCCTTTTTAATTTACAAATTAAATCCAGATAATTTTACTGAATTCAGTGGAATCCCCCATATGTACTCAGGTGTTTTGAGATCAGAAATTGGATTTTGTTTTGCAGACTTCCCCTGATTCATAATTAGCAAGATCAGTAGGTTTTACAATGCATTATAATTTTCAGATATTACTCACTTGTGTTAATTAAATATATAGTAGCCCCAAATGTTCAGAGCTAAATTTATATTTAATAAAATTTTAAATTATATGTAATAAAGGGGAAAAAAGTTCTTGTTAATGACATATAATTCAAGGCAACGAAAATGCTCTTTCAACCCATACATTTTTTTAACTATTGATTTATAAATCCTTATGTTCACAGGCTAGTCCATTGAGTGTGAAGGGGAGAAAGCAGCTGTACTTCTGTTTAGGAAAATATGATCCTAATAATCTATAAACAAAGTACCAAGGCTAAAAATTAATCTTATGCTGCCAAGACTCCTGTTAAAACTGGTTTTAATTGACTCTGTAGTATATACTTGCTACAGTGCATGATATGATTGTTTGTAGCCCTGGAGTACTTGTTTACAGTGGTGTACGAAAATTATACAACTACTATCCTGTTGCCTGGTGTAGTAACTGTACTTAGTATGTAGTGTGCTAAATTATTTGTATCCAATGAATATTTATTGGGCACATGTATAGCGGGTATTTTCTTACCTGTGTATGACTTCATTACACTTTTTAAAGCACAGGCCACCCCTGGAGTCCTACATTGTCCAGACTTAGAGTTGAAGTCACTCCTTTTAAGAGGATGCAGCAAAATCTCTCC